ATCAAGCAAATCAACTGGTGCGAGAATCTAATTTAACTGAATTAAAGACGAACAGTAATCAAGAACTAAATGCAAATCAGTGTTGGATCATTCAAAATAAAAAAGAAGCAGATTATTTTCTCCAAATCAGTCTCCAAAAATTTCTCTTCACAACAATCCGATGTTGCAAGTTTTTATTTAAGAAACATTTGATTTTATTGTAATTAATTTTAGGTTTAATGTCTCTTGTTCAATCTCTTATAAATAGAGGTCTTATAACAACAACACGATCATAATCTTCTAACCCTCGGGGTGAGAACTGTTGTTTAGTCTCATCCCCGTTTTGTTTTCTATTCTTAGCTTTTATAGGCAAGCTCATCTATCGCTACTGCACTTGTGGTTTGTTCTCTTTTATTTATTTTGTAATTTCTATTGAATTTTTTAGTTTATATTGTTCTATTTACTTTATTCATTTAGTGCTCATTCTAATTTTCGCTATTTAATTGTTTAGAATTTGTATTTGTATTTCAAGATCTGCTAATTTTCATTTTTAATTCATCTCTTTTCTAATTTTAATTCTCAATTTAGTTTTAGAGTTATAACTTTCAAAAATTTCAAATTTAATTACTGCATATTTTATTTTAAAGGAATTCTTGATTTTTACACTTTTAATTAAAAATATTTTATTTTAATTTTATAAGTTTCATTTATTTAAATTCTACATCAATTTAATTTTAATTACTACACCATTTGTTTTAAAACAATTTTTTATTCTTGCACTTTTAATTAAAAATACGTTCCAGTTATTTAAATTTTGTTTCCGTTTAATTGTAATTGTCATTAATATTCTATAGCAATTTGATTTTAATATTTATTATTTTGCATCAATTTATTTCTTTTTTACCCTTTCATTTATCTTCCTATTTAGTGTTATTTATTGTTTTAGAAAAAATGATATGTGATAATGAGTATGTTCCTATAATTGTGTCTTTGTGATATTTGACATTAGTTAACTATATTGCATTAGTTTAGCAACTTATTTATTATTTTTTATCACTATGTTGTACGACCAAAATGTTGTCATCATTGGCCCTCGTTAAGAAAATATTGGAGGTTGTTTGTCACTTCTTCAATGTTAGACATGAGATCAAATTACATGTCTTTGTCCACTTGTTGAAGATTTAACTGAGAGGTTGATGTAAAATATGATTTTCGCTTAGCAAGAAGGTATAATGTGTGATTTACTTTTCATCTTAGAATATTTTTATGTATTTCTTTAAAAAATTATTTTTTATTTTAGGTGGTCTTGATCTGGTCGTAGGTCAAATACCCCGCTTATGTTGTACATGTAGTACAATATATGTTGGATCAACTATCACCAAATAAGATATTATACAACAATATATTTGTTATTTCTACATACATATTTTATTTTCAAATAATATATTTTTAATTTAATCTACAGTTTATATGGACTCTTTATTGTAGAAGTGATCTCCTATGATTAATAAATGTTGAATTTTCTCCTGCTTCACATGCTATCATACCTCTCATTTGTTTTGCAGCTGTTGAGTTTCATCAGGTTTGTGACATTTTTTTTATTATTATTATTTGTATAAGAGTAGGAGGTCAAAAAATATTATATATATGTAAAAGTAATTTACATCACTATATAAGATATACAATAGAAGAAGGAATTTTATTTTTGATTCCTTCTATTTTTTTTTTTACAATTTTACAAGTATCTACATTGCTGATGGAAACAAACTGATTAAGGGGTTTTGGAAAAAAGTAGGAGGTATAAAAAAGGTAACCACTACTGGCCCATCTAACATAATGAGATTTCCCATATCAGATACAAATGTTATTATTGAAAATCCTGTCCCTCTAAAAGTAACCGTGTTGTCTATAACATTCGTGTTCCAAGTAGTTCCTAGAAAGAAGGCAGTGATGCTTGCAGAAAAGGGATTTGGAATATTTGGCGCCTCCATCTACTTAAGTTGGTGTTTAAATAAAACATGCACAAAAGATCACAATAGGGAGTGAGAACATTTATCAATTACAATAATACAATCTTATAATATATAGATATATATGTTTCAACTTCCTTAACACATTCTATTTTATGAAGATTTAAATTAAATTTGTAGTGACTAGTCAGGATAAATGAGTTCAATTTTAATCACTCTCACAATGATATTTACTCATTTAAATCCCCAAGGTCCAACCTCCATCTACAATATCATCAAATCTTCACAAATAGATATTATTGTAATTGATTAATATAACTATAGATTAATAAATAGGATCGTTGCATTACTAGAGATAAAATAAAGTAAACAAACAAGACCAAGTACATAATTGAAGATAATTAAAATATGACCAGTGCAAGACTGGAGATAAAATAAAATAAACAAAAAGGACCAGTACATAATTGGAGATAATTAAAATAAGACCAGTGCAAGACTGAAGATAAAATAAAATAAACAAAAAGGACCAGTACATAACTGGAGATAATTAAAATAAGACAAGTGCAAGACTGGAGATAAAATAAAATAAACAAAAAGGACCAGTACATAACTGGAGATAAAATAAACAAGCATAAGGTAGGACCATTACGTAGTTAGAGATAAATAAACAAATAACTAAATAAATAGAATGAGGTTAGGGACACCTCACTCCACAACTATAAGCAAAATAAAATAGATTTAATGATAATATTCTCCTTCCCTACCTTAAGAGCTGCGGATGAGGTACCAAAATTTTTGCAGGGATTGTCTCTTTCTCTTCCTCCCTCTCTCTTTCTTTCTCCTTCTTTCTCTCTCTCCTTCTTTCTCTCTCTTCCTTTCTCTCTTTCCCTCTTTCTCTCTCTCCTTCTTTCTTTCTCTTCCTTTCTCTCTTCCCTTTCTCTTTCTCCCAACGGGTCCTTCCCTCTTACCCTTTTTATAGCAAATTTTTATTTATTTAATTATGTAATCATCAATGCAGTAATTATGATTTTGATCATGTTTATCTTTTAAGATAAGATAATGTTTATCTTTTACATTAATTGAGATGTTACAAGGTTGATTGAGTCATGAGATATTTTGGTATATGACAAAACATTTCTCATGGTCCAATGAACTTAGATGAACTTCATTAAATAGATATGATGGGCAAAACAAACACATTTTGACCACAATATTATCAACATTGGATTACATTATGGAATAATCGACATAATCGACTAATTTAAGGTCAACAATCCAATAAAAATGGACATTTATGCGGAAATGCATCTTATGTGCAATGATATTTTTAACATACTATACAATGTATTCCATTCAACAAATACAAGATACCGACAATGAAGTAAGTATAAAATATTATTTCAATTAGTTATATTTTACCTACAAATATCATTTTATATATATATATATATATATATATATATATATATATATATATATATATTTCTCTATTAGTATGATACACCACAGGAGAAACAATAACATCAAACACCTCAACCAACTTATTCACATGTTGGTCCATCTAGTTACCAGCAACCTTCTCAATCAAGTTATCAGTAAATTGGTTCATTTAGTTATCAGTTCGTCAACTTATCAACAAGTTTATCAATCTACTTTCCAACCTATTTCATTATATGGTTAGGTAGATCATCTTCAAAATCTAGTTGGAGGAAGCCATTTCAGAGGACATGTTTCTTACATATTCAATATGATGCCTTCTAGATCAAATATTTTTATCACCTCTTCCATAACACCACTTTCAACATGTCATTAAGTTGGATCTATAAATTCTTATTGGTCAACAGTACCTATACCTCAGAATCCAACTCAAAAAGAGGAACATGATAGTGATATAGAAACACAACAAATATATGTTCCTCAACAGAACAAAAGACCTAGACAAAATAGAAGAAGATTACCTTGAGGAATAGACTCCCAACATGAGATGATGTGTTTGTTTAACTTTGTATTACAATTTTTTGCATCATGTACTTATTTCTATTAATATTAATATAATATTTTATTAATTACTCTTATATTTTCTATGATAAATAAATAAAATAGTACAAAATAATATTATCTTATAATTAAATTAAAATATAAACAAATAAAAAATAAAAAATACTACAAAACGCGAATAAAAAAATGGAAAATCCAAAGTTAATCTAGATGACACAATTTCAAAATAAAAAAAATACAAATTAACATAAATTATCTATAATGACACGATTTTTTTTAAATAAATTTATCCCTTTTAACACGAGTTACCATTTTTGTAAAATTTTAAAAATTTATAATAATATAATAATATTCTACTTAAATTACGCTAAATTGGTAAAAGACTCACTTTATAAAACTAATAGAGAATATATTTGCCCATCATAACTCATTAGCCCAACAAAAAGAATATAAACAGCCACTGTACTTAAGGTTTTTAATTATTTTACATTCATATTTATTTTTCTGTTATTCTTCACTATAATACAAAGATGAGAGATTTTTAAAAAAATATACACGTTTCAAAATATATCATCTCAAAATGTATTAAATAGCTTAGTATTTTAAACAAAAGTATACTTTAAAAGCATTCCAAGATCCGAAATAATGTTTTTAAAATATTTCTTAAATACGTAACTCAAAAGCTTTTAAATTATAATATTTTAAAGTTAGTTTTAAAATTTTAAAAAGTTATTTATATGGCAACAACTATAATAAGAGGTGAAAAAAAAAAGAAATTATAAAGGTGCAAAATTAGACGCAAATATGAACAAAAGGGAGAGAACTCAAAATCGTGGCGAAATCTTCCACATATATGCCACCTCACCAACGTCCAATAAACCTAAAATTACTCTCAGCAGCAGCAACTGAATGGCACAAAATTTATAACAATAATAATAATAATAATTAATTTACAACCTTATTTTCTTGGAACTCTGCAGTTTGAACAAAACATAGTAGAGTTTATAATATGTTCATTTCCCATATTCAATTGCTGTCCAACAGTTAATGGAAATGGCTTCCTCATTCTTCATCTTAGGCTCGGATTTCAAATGCGTACTCTCTTCTGGGAATACTATAACCATGTCTGGGTTTGGTGCACTGAGACACACTCACCCAAATTGTTTGTTCAGCAAATGCTTCCACTTTCGGACTCTATCTACTAGAATGGTGTCAAGGACTACAAAGATGGTTTCTGAGGTATACGTTGGTGGAGACACAAGTAGCAGAGTCAATAGCAAGAGGTACACCAAGTTGGACTCTTGTTTGGTCATACCACCTACCCCTAATCGTGCCAAGCCTCGAGCTATAATCAAATTTCTGGGTGGTGCCTTCATCGGTGCTGTTCCTGAAGTTACTTATGGGTATTTTTTCCGTTACTCTTTTGTTTTTTCTATGAAAAGTTTGAGTCTTTATCATTTGGTAGCTGTTTTTCTCATGTGGGTGGTGATATTGATGGTGGGATGAGTTATATGTTCATTTAATTTGCAATTTGCAGGTATCTGATAGAGTCTTTGGCCAAGGAGGGTTTTCTTGTGGTGGTGGTGCCTTATAATGTGACATTTGACCATTCTCAAGCTGCTAAACAGGTATATGAGAGGTTCGAAGCTTGTTTGGGTACAATCCTGACATCTGGGTTGCCTCAAGCCAATTTGTCTCCTGTTCAGCTTGAAGACCTTCCTCTTTTCTCTGTTGGCCATAGGTTGGTGTTTGTTTAATGTTTAGTACTACCTTTTATCCTTTATATAAAGAATAATAAGTGCATTTTTTTTCTTGTCTTAATTATAAGAAACACATAGTAATAATTTTTGAGGTGTATTAATAGTTAATTTCTTTCTTACATTATTTATTGTAAAGTTTACCAATGAGAAACTTAATCATTTTCCGTACGACTGAACGCATTGATTGGACTATTTGGTAATGCAAGTCACACTTATTTCTGAGAATATTATTTATTGTGTGATGTTACTATGTATACTTACCACTTACCATTTAATCCTATGAACATTTCTAGAATAAAATTTAATTTATGATATTGGTAGGTAAACAAACGCAGCCTAACTTTTATTTGCATTAGTCTTAATGATTAGTTATTTGTTTCTTATAATATATTGGGGGCATGATTTTCTTATTATAATTAATGTCAAGAAAGTAATATATTTCTTGTTTTTTTGAAATCTAGCAATGGAGCACTTCTTCAATTACTCACAGGAAGCTTATTTTCAGAGAAAATACCTAAGGTTTGATTATTTTTCTTACTGCAGCAACAAAAGATTGTATTTATATACGCACAAAATGGTTGTGATACTATTTTAACTGAGTAGTAGTGTAAAAGTTTAATTATTATAAACATATTTTAGTTTGTGGAAGCATTATGTGGATTATGAAGTTTCATTTACTTAAATAAAACTTGTAGCAATTCAAGGAGTGTGACAAAATGTATATCTCTCTTGTGGAAGGCTAATGTCATAATCTCATACAACAACAGGCCAGCAACGGAGGCAGTCCCATACTTTGAACAGGTATTGACACTCATACTTGCTGAATCCTATTCCATCAATTTATCCAAGAGTCTTTATAGGCTATTACTTTAGTATAATGTCCATTTCTTCATTCTTGTGGTTATAATAAAGAAATATTTTCTCAAAAAGCTGTGTTAAGTGTTCACCTCCCCACTAGAACTTTTGTTATGAAATTTAGAATTAAGTTTGGTTGGGGATGCAAAAATTTTGAAGGATATATATACACTACCTGCTAAATGACTTTAAATAGGAATATGCTCTTTTTGAGAAATATTCATTGTCTAGGCAGGATTCCTTGATATTCTTGTATTTCACCTGCAGGATTTGTACTAAATGATTGAGGTTGTGATGAACACATAAATACTAGTTATGAATATGTTAGAAAGATGAAACACACCTGAACCGGCTTTAATATTTCTTTTTCTCTTTCTATGTATTTAGCACAGCTGCAAAAGAATTCTATAAATCTATCCAAGTAGATGGGAAACAAATAAGCTTAGGAATGCTTCCATTTCCTTTTCTGACCCCATTCGAAATAACTGACTAGTAAGCTCAAAAAATGTAGCATTTATACGTGCAATCAAGGTAAATTAACGTAAGAATTATTGGCATACCATCAACTTATTAGCATTCTAAAGATAAATTCAATCTGTCTAGACAGTAGATTGAGTTGCTCATGAAAGTGATTGTTTCTCTCTTTATTCATATAATCCAGTATGGCATAGAACCATTGAAATCAACATGGTTCATGAAATAAGTTCACATGTCCTTACAGAGAAAAGGTTTTCTCAAAGGGCATAATATTATTCATATTCGTACTGAATTTCATATTTAGAGCATGTGTAAGTTGTTCATCTCCATTGTGCTCTAAAACTTTGCTCGGCTGCCCTGCAGTTGGGTCCAGCAGTCAGCCAAATGATGCCAGTTATGGAGACAACTCCTTTTATTTCAATAGCTAGAAATGCATCAGGTATCTCCCTAGCTTGCTTCTGCTGGTTTTGCATCAGCATTTTGTAACGCTGAAGATATCTTACTCTTCCAATTATCCAAAAAATGACAGCATTTCCTACGTTGTTACATACATGTTACTGTCTAAAATCCTATTTACTCATTATTTTACTAGTTACTAGAGTTGTGCCTTGGTGACTTGTTGATCATAGGCTTGAATCTAGAAAATAACCTTATATATTTCTTGGAATTTGAGTTTAGGACTTAAATCATCCTAACAAAACCTATGTAAGGTGAGAACTGCCTAAACATTATAAAGCTTAGGTTAAATATATGCATACTTAATGATGTGAGACTAATTCGCCACCTTGAGTCTGGAATTAAGGCTATCTCCCAAGAAACCACAACTAAATAGTGACCTTAATTAAGGAGACTTTTCTGAAACTCCCCCTCATGCCCAGGGCTACTTTTGACAAATGCAGATGACCTAATAATAAACTTAGGAGAGTCTAATATCATCTTAAAATTTGAGTTTTAGATCCTAACTCAATCCTTTAAAACTAGTTTATAAAGGTAAGTACTGTCCAAGCTTTATAAAGCTTATATAAACCATATTTCTACTTAACGTGAAACTAAACTACCATCCTTGAGGCTACAACTTGAGTCCCCAAAGAGGTTGTAACAATAAGGTAGGCTAGGATTACTGCAATTAAAGAGGCTTTTGCAACAATATGCATGGGGAGGGTTGTGTAGAATGATCCTACCCCATACCTTTGCGTAGTAAGAACCTTTTGACACTGGGGCACATTAGTTTTTACCAGAGGTGAAGTGATTTAATAAGTAGAGAATTTAGAAAGTCAGATATGATATAGTAATTTTGTTCTAAATCAAAAGTCTTGGTCTAAAACCCAAAATTGTTGTTGATCCTCTAATAATGTAATTCTGCTGTTACAATAAATACTTGTTGCCCTACCACCTCAACACTCAGTTGGAATCCTTGGTGTGCTTAAATTGACTATATTAAATTTTGTATCTATGATGACAATGCGTGTCATCTATCTATGTAGGAGATGCACTGAAGATGATTTTGGATGCTGTTAGATCAACTCTACAGGAATCTGAGCAGGAAATACTTAATTCCTTAACTAAATTTGTTGATCAGTTGCCCTTAGTAATGAATGAGGTACTTGTTAACTGTTGATTTTGGAAATTATTTTATGCTATTTATTTCAGTTACGTATGTGTTAATGGGAAAACCTTGTACGTCAAGTTAAGTTGTTGATTCCAATGCCTCCTGTTATTATTGTTCATGTACACCTACAACAACCCTGCATATTTGTTTTTCCTAGTTATAACTTTGCATGTATTAGATGCATGTATAATCTCTAAGGCCATGGATGAATAACGATGGATGATCCTTGTGTTCATTGACCTTTAATGACAAATCATGTTAGCCGAGTATGAAGGCAACCTGAGACTGGTTGAATATCCGTGTCTTTCAACGTAAATTTGACGACAATGCTTAAAACTTAATTTACATGTTAATGAGTGCATGTATGTCTGTATATTTCTTTGTGCTTGTATTATTGTATATCACTTTGTCAGGTTTCGCAAGGAGTATCAGAGTTCAAGCCAACACCATCTGAAAACCGTGATTGCTTTAAATGTTCATACAATGTTGAACACACACTATTGGTTTGTCTAATGCCCTATGCCTTAGAGCTTGTTCTTCAACTTAGAACTTATTATTGAAAGATGGCTGGTATTGGTAAAATGTGTATGATACTGTATCTGCCTTTCTAGGTGAAGTTCAATTTTGACGCAATTGATGAGACAGATATTCTTGAAGAAACACTAAAGCCTCGTGTAGAGTCATTGGGAGGGACATTAGAGAAAGTAACGTTAAGTGGTAACCACATCACACCATGCATTCAGGTCAAACTTCTTTGCATTCTCCTTTCATACCATACTTCTGTTCATTACAGTAAAGTTTTCCTCTTTGCTGGAAACTGCTTTCCTGAATTATCATGGCAGTGAAGTGTCTTAGTTCACATGCAAATTACATTAGTTAACTACTATTCATCCAATAGCAGATTTTCTAATTAAGGGTCGATTTGGACAAATTTCTCCGAAACAGTCATAGTAGTGAAAAATAAGAAGAAAAAATGAAATGAATTTCTTTATAAGTTAAAATAGCTCATGCATAACATAATTAGTAGAAATTGTCTCTATAATTTGTCTAAATTCTTACTTTTAACTTGTGTATAAGCTTATTAGCTTATTGAGAAACTCATTTTTTTCTTTTTATGTATCTCTTCTAAAAGTACACTTATGGAAAAAGCTTGTCCTAAAACGTGAAAAATAAACTATCAAGAAAAAAATAAAATGAAATGTTTTCTTCCATAGTTTTCCATGATTTACATTCTTTTATTATTTGTTTTATTTAAGTTTTTGTTGGCACTAGCCACACACATTAATATTGTTTGAATGGGGGATATTTACTTCATAGGTATTGAAACACAATCATGGGAAACCAAATATTAAGATAATGCTCTTTAGTTTCTGTAAAAGAAAGGATAAGAACATTATTATATATATAGAAGTGAGGGATTAAGTTACTCTTGAGGAACCTTTAAAGATATTTTTTTGTCATTCATTTTATTGAATTCTAATGAGAAATTGAATGGTAAGAATAAGGAGTAAAATTACTTTTGAAGTAACTAGATTCCTCCATATATATATATATATATATTGCTTTGCTTGCTTGAGAATCTTAACTAGAGTACTAAATCTTGCAAGTAACAAAGTAGTAAGATTGTATTTATATTTGTGTTATAACTGGATAATTAAAGTATAATTTCTAGACTAGGAGATTTGGAGAATAAAAATAACCAAATGTAAAAGACAATGAAACAGTAGGTACATATACAAAATGAATTAAGTGTAAATAAATTCAATGAAGATCATGTTATCACCAACCCAAAAAATTATTCAAGTCTTAACCCCTCAAGTGAAAGAACTAAGTCCCTTTATTTCACTCTCAATCCCTTAAACTAGTATAATCAATATACTTTAAGAAAAAAGTTTTAACAATGACCAATCCTCCTTACCCTATCCATAGACATAAAACTGTTGTTTGTCTTTTCCAATTCAATACTCAAAAGAATTGGAATTACAAAATCATGCAATTGATATAATTCCCAATTAGCATTAACCATATAAGAAAAACAATAACCAATAATTATTAATGGAATAAAAAGAATATTGACTACATGGAAGTAGATCTAATTACATTAAACTCCAACTGAAAGGAAAAACTTAACTACTCATAACTACGGAGGAATCCATGGAAGAAAAGTATTTCCCTTTCTCAAGGTGTGTAAATAGGATTCCAAAGTGTATTTTATAGGCATTGAGTCTTTACTGAAATGAGCTTTAGATATAGGCACTTAAAGCAGCCCAAAATGTATGGACAGCTTAAACGCCCATAGAATACCACTCTTGTATGCTTCAAGTCTGATTAGAAATAAATTGCTTAAGCGTTCACATAATGCTTCATTATTAAGTGGATGATAGTAAGAAAGAAGCTTCTTATATTGACAATTAGATTAAAAAAAATGGTGAAGATAACTAGTATTGAAGAAACTATATCCTGTTTAGTGTTGTGTGTATATGTGGAGGAATCAAGTTAATCTGGTTAAAGTTTAAGAAAATTAATTTTCATCTTCATCCTTGCTTGCTTCTTTTGTTAATCTAACTTGTCATCAAAAGTTACAATTTAAATAAAGAATAAATCTATGAGGGTTAAGAAATGCATATAGCATTTTTAAATTGTTAGGAATATTACTTTATTATCTTTTATTTAAATTAGGTATTAAGAGATTTTATTATCTTTTAAGAGAAAAGGTAAAAAGATATTAAGTTATTATTTTGATTTAGGCAGTTAAAATTGAGATATAATGATTTGATATTTTGTCATATTTTTACTTTATATAGATAGAGTACATGAATAAAATATATACCCATATGAGATATATTTCACATATCAGAAACACACGGACAAAACCCTAAAATTTTCATCAGTGGTATCAGAGCTTTGGTTCTTACGAGAATAATGGAAATCGCTATTCCAATTTTCGATGGCGAAAGTTATGACCTATGTGCTGTAAGAATGCAATTGTGTCTTGAAGATTTGATATATGGGAAGCTGTGAAATAAGATTACATCATTGACTCGTTGTCTGAAAATCTCATTATAGCTCAAATCAAATTTCACATAGAAAGAAAAATAAGGAAGACAAAAGCTAAATCATATCTGTTTGCAGGTGTTTCACAAATGATCCTCACCAGAATCATGATGCTAAAGTCACCCAAAGAAATTTGGGATTATTTGAAAGATCAATATGAAGAAGGGGACGAAAAAATTCGAGATATGAAAGTTCTAAACTTAAGGGAATTTGAGATACAAAAGATGCAAGAGTCTGAGACAATTAATGAATACTTAAACAAATTATTGGGTATTGCTAACAAGATAAAACCTTTAGGTAAGAAATTTTCTAATTTTAGAATAGTTGATAAAATTCTGCTAGAAGGATATGAAACATCTATTGCCTTATTGAAAAATACAAAGAATTTGTCTAATATTACTTTGGCAGAAGTGTTACATGCTTTATAAGCGTAAGAGTAACAGAGATTGATGAGAGTGTGAGAAGGTGAGAAGAGAAGTCCTACATCATGGAAATTATATTTTGTTGCTTGTGCCCGAGTTCCTCCATTATCCTTTTAATCCAAATAGCTTTCTTACATGTCTGGGTGGTTACCATGTACTCAACTTTTGTGATAAATAGACAAAGCTACAACATCCTATAACTTGGATATCCAGTTATTGTCTCTCTAACAAAAGTAAACTCATCAAGATCACCTGCAAAACCTGAATAAACATAGTATCTGACAACTAGTTTTGATCCTCCGAAACATAATACAACATCCAAGATTTCTTTGATAAGAATTCTCTTGATAATACTCATACTCTCCACCACAATTTACCATTGATCTACTAATCGCTCTCACTGCTTGTACAATGTCTGATTTTGTACCAATCATGGTATTCATAAGACTTCCCACCGTTGATGCATACAATAGTTGAGACATTTTTATCCTTCTTACTTCATTGCTAGGACTGATACTTAAGGATAGCTTGATAGAAAATGGGGTAAAAACTGGCTTATACCCATGTATGTTGAAGCACTGCAAGACCTTCAGTAAGTAATTTTTTTGATAAAGCCAAACCTTCTTATCTTTTATGTCCCGGTGGATTTGCATCCCTAAAATATTGTTTGTTGATTCCTAGTTCTTCATATGATATTTCCTAGTCAACTGTGTCTTCAAAACTTGAATTCGAACTTTGTTGGAGCCTACCACCAACATGTCATCCACATACAACGACAAAATGATAAAATCATTCTCATCAAATCTATTGTAATAGGTATAATATTTTGAACTAGTCTGTTGTAATCAAGACGAATCATAAAGAATTAAATCTCTTGTACAACATCTAAACACCCGGTTTAAACCGTACAAAGATTTGGACAACCTGCAAACCAAGTTTCTTTTTTTTTTATTCTTCTGGTTGGAGCACTCCAATCCTTTCTTTAAGTTCACCTTTAAGAAAAATAATATTTGTATCACCGTTAACAATAAGCATATGGATAGTGGAATCCACAAGAAATATCCTTTTACATTGTTAGCATAGTCCAATAATTTGCTTTTCCCGAACTTTGAAAACACAAACTTCCTCTTCATGCGATACACTCATAATCTCCTAGAGTAATCATCACTGACACAAAAGATTTGGTCCTTCCTAGGGATAATACTGACGATTCCAACACATCATAATAAACCAAGTCCAATATGTGTTTCCTCCTGATACAATTTGATAAGGGACTTCCAAAATTGCCTTCATCTTTAGTTTTCACAATGAAAAACTATTCCCATTAAACTTCTCTATCTCATATTTTATTGTCATGGTTTTAATTGACTTATGCACATTTCACTATGAATAATATTGCCTACTGGATTAATAATCTAAACCGTAACTAATACACCAGGTAAGCTCCCAGGAAAGAGAGATGAGTCACTAATAAACACACTTAAATACCAAGTCTTTCTTTGTCATTGATAAAAATATTTCCAAAAACCCCTGTCTTGTATTGAATATGATAGCACAATATATACATGAAATACAGAAACATTCTAGGCTATAATTACGCTAACCATTATAGTCGGTATCCTAAATTTGTCTATTAACAGATATGACATTAATGTGCATCACTGTGCATCGCTGTCATGCCAAGCTAAATATGGAAAAAATTAATCATGTAGAATCATGGCATGATACGGTATTTGTAATCGTATATTCTATGTTTATCACCCTCCCTCAAGATGGAGTATGAAGGTTGTGAATGCCCAACTTGCCTAAAAAAGAACCAAATTTAGTGGCGCCAAGAGATTTGGTGAAGAGATCAGCCAGTTGATGATGAGTGGACACATAGGAGGGTTGGATATGATTGTGTTGTATTTCATCACGAATAAGATGACAATCCACTTCAATATGTTTTGTCCGTTCATGAAACACAGGATTCTTGGCAATGTGAAGGGCGACTTGGTTGTCACGATAGAGAGTCATAGGGTCGGTGTGAGTAATGCCTAAGCTCGAAAGAAGGCCTTGAAGCCATTTCAACTCACATGTCGTGTTGGCCATAGAACGATATTCCGCCTCGCGGATGATCGAGAAACCGTATGTTGCTTCTTGGTTTTCCAGGAAACGGGGATTGACCAAGGAAAATAAACCAACCGGTGAGAGATCTTCGAGTTAGAGGACAACTTGCCCAGTCCGAGTCACACCAACCATAAAGACGAAGGTCACTCTCTCTTTTAAAAGCACACCCCGACTCGGGCTGCCCTTTAAATAGCGTACCACGCGGAGTGCAGCCCGCCAATGCTCCTGACGCGTTGGTGCATGAATTGAGATAGGACATGAACACTGTAAGATAATTCAGGTCGTGTAAAACACAAGTAAATAAGGCGACCGACGAGACGTCAATATTGACTCGGGTCGAAAGTAGTTCGCCATCGCCCAATGCTAAACGATGATTTTCTTCGATTGGCGTGGACACAGGTTTCCCTCCAAGCAATCCCGCTTCAGCTATGATGTCCAACGCATACTTCCGTTGACACAAGAAAATTCCTGTAGGAGATCCGGCAACCTCCACCCCAAGAAAGTATTTTAATTTCCCTAAGTCCTTCATACGAAAACATTGATGAAGATAATCTTTGAATTGCGCAATGTCTTCATGATGATTGCCAACAATGACTAGGTCATCCACGTAAACTAACACAACCAGTTCGACATCTCCTTTGCGAAAGATGAACAAGGAGTGATCAGACGAAGAACGTTGAAACCCATATTGAACAAGAGCGAGTTGAGAGCTTGGCAAACCAACACCGAGGAGCTTGACGAAGACCATAAAGGGACTTGCGGAGACGACACACCATACCCTTTTGAGACACCAAGAACCCCGGCGGCATTTTCATGTACACATCTTCCTCAAGATCGCCGTGCGAAAAAGCATTATGGACATCCATTTGATGAAGTTCCCAGTCTTTGGCTACCGCCACTACCAACAGTGTCCGAATGGTGACCATCTTTGCCACCGGGGCAAAAGTCTCGTCATAGTCAATCCCCTCAACTTGGTAATTTCCCAAGACAACTAATCGGGCTTTGAAGCGTTCAACGCTCCCATCGAATGATATTTGATTTTATAAATCCACTTGCAACCCGGAGGCTTCTTCCTCGCGGTAGAGGAGTAATGTCCCATGTTTCATTACTTTGGAGGGCCCGAATTTCACTAGCCATGGCATCTCTCCATCTAACATCCCGAACAGCTTCAAAGAAATGCACAGGTTCTCTCTCGCATGAAGGGCTGCAAGAAAGGTTCGGTGGGGGAAGGAGAATTTAGCACAATTTAAGTACTTTGTCAAACCGTAAGGCATACCCGAGGAAGCCGAATGTGGAGTGCGAATTGAGGGACCGAGTTGTAAAGTGGTGTTAGTGACATAATCACGAAGCTTCACGGATGGCTTTCGTACACGAAGACCTTTCCCCAGTGGATGCAGGGACAGGTATGCTCCTCAGGAACCTCTAGTTCCGTCATCATAGAGTCGGTTTGTTCCGGTGGGAGAACGATCCGGGTGGGAGGCTCTTGTTCATGGCATTCAGCCGTGGCCCTCCCCGAACTCGGTTGTGGGCACATCTTCCGTCGTGGGGTTAACGTCATCGGTCTCCACAACGTGTTCTGCGTTGTTCATTGCACCAAGTCCAGGCAATGCTTCCTCGACAATGCCAACATCAACAGTAGGCAATCCTACCTCTGAATGTCTACTGTGGGCAAGAGAGGCAAACGGGAATTCATGTTCTACAAACTTAACATCTCTCGAAGTCCAGAAGACTTCTCTTTCCAGATCAAACAATTTCCAGCCCTTTTTTTCGATTGAATATCCAACAAATACATTCTTGCGACTTCTACTTGCAAATTTGTCACCTTTCCTATCTTGGTTATGTGCATAACACAAGCATCCAAATACCCGTAAATGGTCATAAGTGGGTGGCTTCCCATTCAATATTTCATATGGAGTTTTTCCATGGAGAACGGTTGAGGGTGTACGATTGATCAAGTATCCTGCGGTCAAAATGCATTCTCCCTGAATTGAAGTGGAAGTTCTCCCCGAAATCGTAGAGCACGAGCTACATTTAGGATGTGTCGATGTTTTCGTTCGGCTCTCCCATTTTGCTGAGGTGTTCCAGTGCATGAGGTTTGATGGAGTATCCCATGTTGCTGAAAATATCGTTGAAGACACATAAACTCAGTTCCATTGTCACTTCGTAATATTTTGACTTGTTTCTCGTATTGTCGTTCTATTAAGGCGATGAAATGCATTAAGGTTTGTGACACATCTTTCTTATTATTCAAGAGATATATCCACACAGACTCGAGAACAGTCATCAACCAAAGTGAGAAATTAAGATGCACCACAAGACGAGGGAGTTCTATATGGACCCCATACATCACAATGTATTAAATCAAATATATTGGATGCTTGAAAATCACTTAAAGGAAATGTGTTTCGCATTGCTTTGATCTCTCACACACTTCACACACACGAGTTGTATCCGTATTTCTATTCACGCTGTTCGGATGCTGAATTTTTCTAACAATCTGGTAGGCAGGATGTCCCATTCGCTTGTGCCAAATCTCTAGTTGATTTTCTCGCATTGGTCCGATACACCTTTATGCCACTCACACCACGATACCAATAGAGTCCCTCTTTTCGTTCACCCGCACCAATCAGCATCCTCGAAGTGTGGTCCTGCATTGCACAAAATCTATCGATAAAATGTACTGTACATTTTACTTCATTCGATCAATTGTGATACTCGAAATCAAATTGCAATTCAATTTTGGAACATATAGAACATGTTTAAGTTTCAGTCCTCCATCAAGGAAAACCGATCCTTCTTTGTTTGCCAAGCACCAATTCACCATTTGGTAGTCCCACTGGGCACCCTTCCAAGGCTCGACTCTCCCTCAAGTTTTCTAGTGTTCCTGTCATATGATTAGAGGCGCCACTATCAATAATCCACAAGTCACATGCTTTCTTACCAGCTCATCTTTTCAGTTTCATTTGCCTTGCGAGAATTTAACATTGCCTGTCAAGATCCGCCATTGCTCATTACTCGCTCCCGCGACTTCGGTTTTTCGGTTGAACCAACGTTATCCGCACCGAGTGTGCGCCATATTGACGCGAGCCGTTCCTCCTTTTCCTCGGAAGGTTCCTGTTCTTTGTTGATTTTTTTCATCGTTTTTATCGGTTCGTGGTCTCTCTCCCCACCATTCTGGGTAACCAATGATCTTGAAGCAATTGCCTTTGTCATGTCCCTTCCTTCCACACTCGCATGCAAACAACTGATTTTTCTTTCGCTTCATTGCGCAACTTGTTCCCGGTTTCCGCTCGCATAGCCATTCCCACGATCATTCCTCGCTCTTCTTTAGACCTGGTGATTGTTCTCACCCTTTCTTCTTGCACCATGGTGCCATACACCCGATTCAACGAGGGTAATGGATCTGTTGCCAAAACATTTGACCGTGCAGTTCCATAGCCCTCATCATCTAGCCCCATCAAGAACCGATGAATTTTTTCTTCTTCTCTTCGTTTCTCAAGTTGCGTCATAATATTACACTTGCATCCCCCACATCTACACTCGTGGGATTTGCTCGTAATTTGCCAGTTCATCCCACAACGTTTTCAACTTCCCATAATAGGAAACCATAGTCATTCCTTGTTGTTTGCATTCCGCCAACTCGACTTTAGCCTGCTGGATTCTTGGTCCGTTCACGATCGAGAATCGTTCCTTGATGTCATCCCATAGGTCCTTTGCGTTTTCCATGTATGCAACAGTGGAACGCAAACTAGGTTCTATAGTGTTTAGTATCCAAGATACAAGCATCGATTGAATTGTCCACCAATCTTCTATCTCAGATGTGTCTTCTTCAGGTTCCTTATGAGTTCCATCTATGAAACCCCATTTCCTTCGAGCCCGCAGAGATATCTTCACGGCCCTTGCCCATTCCTCGTAATTCTCTCCTCGTAATTGTACCTGTGTAATCACATTTCCAGGATTATCACTGGCACTCAGATCGTATGGCGATGGTGTTTTCTTCACCGTCTCTCCTCTCTCCGCCATTTTAGAAGTACGATCGTGTTCTCGAGTCGTTGGATATCGAGTTTGGTTCGCTCTGATACCATGATAAAAATATTTCCAAAAACCCCTGTCTTGTATTGAATATGATAGCACAATATATACATGAAATACAGAAACATTCTAGGCTATAATTACGCTAACCATTATAGTCGGTATCCTAAATTTGTCTATTAACAGATATGACATTAATGTGCATCGCTGTCATGCCAAGCTAAATATGGAAAAAATTAATCATGTAGAATCATGGCATGATACGGTATTTGTAATCGTATATTCTATGTTTATCAGTCATAACTTTTCTTAGACATACACACACTTTATATCCAGTAACTAGAATAACTGTTTTCTGATGTGGAATATCATATTAACCGCAAACACAGAGCATACTAAGAATTTTCTTTAATACTATTCTAATGACTATAGTAGCGGAATAATATCATAAATAAGAAACCAACCATCGGCTCTAATACCACTGTTAGGAATTAGAGTAACTGCATAAGAACTTACAACTAAAATAAAAGACGAGAAAAGAAAAACAAAAACAATAATAAAATTTTACTATCGGAAGAAATTACAATACCCTCTTTAAATCTAAGAAGAAAACAATAATATTTTTTCTCAGAAGAGAAAAGAAAGAGATTTGGGATCATTTGTGCTCCTTTTATAACAGGAAAAATAGACATCACCATATCATTTCTCAACCTGCTTGTCAAGTAAACTTCTCATTTTTTTCTCTAAATCCAAATGTTTAAAGACGATTTACTTTACAAGATCATACGATGATTTACTCAGAATTATTCCTAAAGTAATATGATCTCTCATGGTATGTTTAGGAGCTTCATCTAAGTATATAATTATAGCAACCTCATTCAATTATGGCAAAAATCTCATTTAACCAAAGGAAGCATGAATTTTCATATTGCTCTTTAAATTAAACTAAACATGATTTTGCCTTGCAATGTTAAGGAAGTTCTGTTATTATCTTTTCCTTATAAAAAAAATCTTATATTTCAAATCATTTAAACTTCGTGGTGGTACTCTTTTTTATTACTGACTCATTACACTGGGAGATCAGGAACCGAGGTGGCAAGTGGGTAGATTGTATACTCCTGCTGATGCTGTTGCTCAAGGGCTTAAATCTCTGTCTTTGAATGATACCAAGATCCTTGCCAGAACTATTAGTGACTGGTTCAAACGTTTTGAGGATTGAAGTGAAAGGCAAGACCTGCATTGGATACATAAAGCAATATAATTTTAGCTATAAGCAGGATAATGCATTTATTGGATCTTTGAACCAAAGGTGATGATTTAAAACCTGTGCAGTGTATATAACTTATAGGTTAAGATAAAGATTGGTAGCTTGTATCATTTATTGGATTGATGCTTATTTGCATGCTTTTTTTTCTTTCAAAGCTATGCACAGTTTTAGACTGATGAATGTCATTGTGAAAGGGTTGAAACTGGATAAATAAGAACGTTTTAGACTTTAGATGCTTTCAGAGCCTCTAAGTTCAAGCCAATATAGCAGAGTGCTGACTTGTTGTAATTTCATATTATAATCGTCCTTTTCAAAGTATTCTCATGAATTTAAAATTTAAAATTTAAAGATTAAGTTAGATTGAATTGGATTCAATAAAATGTTTTTTTTTTTACATTTTAATAATCTAAATAATATATTAAATGTAAAATAAGTCGATTAATGATTATAAATCTCCTAACAGAAATTATAATTGTACTGAAACTTACTATTCTTTTTGTTTTCAGAAATATTAAATATAAGAAAAATAATTGTTGTTGTTGTAACTTTTATGGGGAAAATGAAAAAAAATAATAATTATGGTCTAACGTTGACCTAACTCTTATAAATTAAAAGAAATAAAATTAGATTTAAATATTTTATCCTTCAAATAAAAAAGAAAAAAACTGGTTCGATCATTAAAACTCTCACTTTCACAAATTTTATCAATTTTTATCTTATTTCTTGGATTCAATAAGATATTAATTTTTTAAAAACAATGGATGTAGACCATTAAATAAGTAAGTTACGATACCATTGATTATAATATTATTTAATATATATTTAAACAAATTTTTTTAGAACTTTTAAGAAATAAAAGTAAAAAGAAAAAATAATGAGTGTTTATTTTTTTTCAGTTTTCTTTTTAACTTTATGATTGATCTAAATGATATGATATTCAAATTGATTTTACTAGATTAGAATATTGAACAATTTGATTAAGGGACAAATATTATTAATTTTAATTTATATATAATAAATTGTAACATAAAAAAAGTAATACAAATAAACTTGTCCAAATATATTTTAATAAAATAAATGTTATTAGTAAAGAAAGAAAAACATGTTAACTTATGTCAATTTAGGCAGGATTAAATGATTACGTGAAGGAAATCCTAAATATGAACATGTCAGTTGGGTTTAGCAGAGCAATCATATTGCTTTGTATTTTGATAGCATGACATAATAAGTTATGGTATGAACTACTAGAACCAGAACTGAGTAATCTTTAAAATTCATCTACTTCAATTGTAACTGCTTTGTAATAATGAAAACTGTGAAATGTCATATGTATATGTATGGCTGGTGCAGTCACCAATGGGTTGAAATGTGGCTTTAAAAGTCAAGTTGTAGCAACAGTAGTAGACTTCTGGTTAGGACCTGCAATTCAATAATACACTGTCACCACTGAGTTATTAGGTTTTAAATGACACCAATATACAAAAAGAAGGTCTACAAATTTAACAGCATCAATTTAAACTATTAAAAGTAATTATTTAAGTTTGATTTGATGGTTGCAAATATAAGTTTTCACGAAAGGATTAATATGTTATAATTAATAATCTAGACTATTAAGAAATCAAAGTTCAGCAAAATTCAATATCTTCATTGTGTTTTTTTTAACTATAATTTTTCATTCACAAAACTTAAATTCAAGATCTTATTTAATACTATTCAAATCGTTTAATGATAAATGAATTATAGTTATTGAATGAGAGTGAATAAGTGAAATTTAAACCAACAAATTCAGTAAATTTTAGTCTTAAACTTTTTAGATCCAAAATTTATGCAAGAGATCTGAGTTGAAAACAAATGAATGGAACTATTTTGTAGATGTAGCAACATTCTTAAAGAGCTTATATTTTTCTTCTCACCTTCCACCACGATGAGGACAAAAGGAGAAGATAAAGGGTCACCATTTGTCAGGAAATAGACATGCATGGCTGCTAGTGTTCACGTTTGCTTACAAAAAGGACTAGAAATTTGAGCTTGAAATAACTGAACCCTAGTCAAGGCTCATAAGTTTTATCAATTAATAGAATGGAACCAAACATGTCTGAGTCGTGTAAGCATTGTGTAATTAATTTCATCTTTGGAATTTTGCGAGCTTCCCTATTTGGTCCAGTTTCTGCCATTCTTGCATAGTTTTGGTTTTTGCTCAAAGTCCAATCTCCACTGTCTTCAATTAAGTGCGAGAAAACAAGTTTCATTTTCATGCATGTATAACCATTTGTTCATTAGGTTGCAAATTCTAGACCTATATGTGTTAAATTGAAGAGAAAACATATGTATTCTAATAACTCATCATCATGTTTTAAGGTTTTAGGTCTGTAAATTAGGTAACAAGATGTAAGAGTACCTTCAACCTTGTAACTTAAAAGTTGTCACTAGTCATAGATGAAACTGAAGTTAATCTGTATAGGGATCCCCACTCTCTTATACTGCCTCTATCAAAGGTAACAATTCTGAGCAAAATTGGGACACTGCAAGAAGAGAAAAGTTGGTAGTGATAGTGGCAGATTCAAATAATTAAACAATATTGGTCCCCTCAAGTTGGCTGTTATAGCCGAAAGTGACCTTACAATTTGGTGAGACATAGGAGGTGAATGACAGCATTCCAATTCATAAATGACAATTTAAGGTTGCCTGCACAAAACATGTAACAGTAATAATAGTGTGGAGGTCACATTGTGTTCTGAATGTGATCGTACGTGCAAACCTAAAGATATCATATCAATGTCTACCATTTAATTTATCTATCATTTCGAGGGTATGATAATAATAAATTTTATTTTGTTTAAAAATAAATTCAAAGTCTTGTAAGAGAGTTCAGTCGTATTAATCCTTCTATTTATTTATTAATTTTTCATTATCCTAATAGTAATTATATGCATGGATAAATAGAAATTAAATTATTTTTTAGAATTTTTAATTTAAAACAGAATAAAAATATGATTGTTTTTAAGTTAATACAGGAGTAGCTTGATTATTCATAATTAATATGATTCTTCCTTTGATTAAAAGAATAATTGTTTTAGTTAAAAAAATAAAAATATATATTTTTATCAATTAAAATAAGACTAAGTTCAATTTTAAATATAATAAAATAAAATTAGGAGCATTAAACTATTTTATATTTATTATTTATTAAAGCATTAACTTTATATATATATATATATATATATATATATATATATATATATATATATATATTTATGAACTTGTGTATAGCTTTTCCATTTAAAAATCTAGAGTTTTCAAATACTAGATGTTTTCTTAAACTATCATTTACTGTACTTACAAGTACCAAGATATTTTTTATTGTCATCTAGAAGGTTCTAGTATTTTCTAAATAATAATATCTATTTATTATTACCTAATTCTTTTCTATTGCTTTTTAAAAATTATGATTTTGTTTGATAATTTGTTAATATAAAAATTTTTATTTTTAAAAATAAAAGTTGCTTGAGCAACTTCTTTGTAGAAAACTACTTTTCCAAGTTATTTCTATTTTAGTTGTTTTAAAATAAAATGCAGATATTTCCCATTTGATTTTTTATTTCTGAAGACGATGAATTAAATTGATTAACTACGATAACATGACTTATATTATTAATAATTTTTTCTAGAATATGTTACAACTAGTTTAGAATTTTTTTTCTTAGTTTTACTATTCCACAATTCAATTTATTTATATTATTTACAAAAACTATAAAAAAGTTAAAATAAAATGAAGTATGTTTTATCTATTATATCTTGAAATATGTTTGTAAAAATATATTTCTCAATTATTATTTTTATAACATGTAATTTTACATTGAAATAATAACTAATACTTACAAAACAAGATTATATATATATATATATATATATATATATATATTTATATATATATATATATATATATTTATATTTATATTTATATTTATGTAATTAACCAAAATACTTTTTTTATTTTTATTATCAAATTTTTGTTTGCAAACACAATAACGAGAAAACATCCTCTTGTAGTCTTAGCCGTTAACGAGCATTAAAAAAGTATTTCTCTAATAATTTCTTCTTAAAGTTATCCTAGTTCACTGCTTCTAATCTAAGTTCTATCACTTGTTTTATATCAGTTCACAACAATTTTGCCTCACAAGTAAAAGGTACGTAGAAAAGTACATCTTTTATGCTTAGGACAAGAGGTTGTTTTGAAGATATTCTCCTTCTCCATGATTCATTAATCACCTGGTCAAAATTAGAGTTGTCACTAAATTTAGGGAATTCATGTCTCAGCTAACTGTTCTATCTATTATGAAAGGTAACTTAAAGAAGAGAGGCTAGTCCTTACAATCTCCAATTGTTGCATGACAGCTTCATATTGGTGAGTGATGGTAGCAATTGGAGGATATTAGCTATCATCTCTATAATCTTGTCTATCTATCTCATCTCTAGAAGCTGAGGAGGGAGAGGGGATCTAGGTCATCCTAGCTAAAAAATAAAAATAAAAAATTAAAAAAAATATTAGAAAATTTTTAATTTGGATCCTTTAAATTACCACATTAATCAACAACTACTTTATATAGACAACACAAACAAAATATAGTAAACCTACTTTTTCTCATCTTAACTAGATATTACTTGCTTAATGTAAGAAAATCATTTTCATTATTATGATTAAAATAATAATAAAATTTGGACAAATTTATATAATAAATTATCACAAGATTGCACGTTAACGAAAAATGGACATCCTCTTATCCAATAGTAGAATAAAAACATCAAGAGTTTTCAAATAAGTTATAAATAAAGTCTTACTAGTTCTTTAATTTCATTTCATTATTTCTACGTATGTTTTTATGACTAATAAGTGAAATATAAAAAATTTATCACATTGTTAATGTTGATTCAAACACCAATATTTGATGTCCCATTACAAACTACATCTCTAATGAAATATTATATTCCTCTTTTAACATGTTGATCATGAATATTGACATTAATATTGAGCATACCTCTTATAGTGAAGTCTGTAAAAGTAAATACTGAGTCAAAATAATGAATGATGAAATTCAAGCCTTTGAAGTTAATCGGACATGGATTATAACCGAGTTTCCTTCCTATAAGTTGGTCATTGGTTGTAAGTGAGTTTACAATATAAAGTACAAAGTTGAATGGTTCTATTGATAAGTATAAAGTAAGGCTTGCAGTAAGAGATTATATGCAATAAGAAGGTCTTGATGATAATGAAAATCCCTCTGGTAAAACTTACTATTGTTAGTATCCACAATTGACATTTAAAACAATTAGACGTTAATAATGTCTTTCTCAATGAGACCTACACCAGAAAGTATACATGAAGCTCCCTCCTGCACCTCTTATAATACACAAAAGTTTTGTCATCTTCGTAAATTTCTTTATAGGCTCAAGCATTCTGGTCAATGATGGTATACCAAACTTTCAACCTTCCTTGTATCCAACAACTATAAAAAATTTGTTGGAAAATTAAAGTGTGAGTCTAAGTCTCACAAAGAGTAAGAATTAGAAAGTTAAACAACTTATAAATGAGAAATATCCATAACCTAATACCTTAAGGTTTTAGGTTGAAGGTGATGTCAATCTCTTATGTGAGTTAAACCCATGTGTCTCCCTGATGAATCCCCATTAAAAAACTTATCATAATCTTTTGTTGATCATTCACTATTTCTAAAGTTTGCAGGTCTGAGCATTACAATCATTATTATCTATGTTGATGATATTGTTCAAACTAGGAATAATCCAAATGAAATATCTCACACCACTACATAATAAGATAAGGTCTTTAAGGTAAAAGAATTATGAGATCTCACCTATTTTCGTTGTTTTGAAATTGCCCGAAGTAGTGTCAAACTAAACCTTTTCCAACATAATTATACCCTTAATTTTCTTGCTGACAAGTGACTGATGAGAATTTTTAGGGCTTTGTGTATGTGTATTTCTGATATATCATGTGAGTATATTTTTATTCAAGTACTCTATGTATATATATAGAGTAAAAATATTATAAAATATCAAATATCAATAATATCTCAATCATAACTCGCCTAAATCAAAATAATAACCTAATATCATTTTATCTTCTCTTTTAAAAAATAATAAAATCTCCTAATACCTAATTTAAATAAAATATAATAAAGTAATATTCCCAACATTCCTCCTTACTTTAATATCTATTTATTTAAATTTGATAATTTTTCTTTTATTTTGCTTATAATTTTTTCTCCTTTTTTGTTTGTACTTCTTGTCATCTTCTTTTTTGTATGAGATCATATCTTCATTCAACTTCATTTTCTTCATCAAAGTATTTTTTCCTTTATCAACTTCATCTCCTTTGTTTCTTTCAAACTTCATGGTAGTATTGTTTACTCTTTGATGGACGTTGAAAACAGTTTCTTCATCTACATTTTTATCATCAAGTTCCTTCAAGAAATCTTCTTTATACTTTTTCTTTGACTTTTCTTTTATATCTTCGTTTGTAATCAACTCTTTTTTCATCAAATCTAAAGTAAAATTTTTCCCTTTCATGTGAACTTTGAATATTTCAAAGTTATTTGTATATTTAATCACACAAAGTTTATGTTTAAAAGACATCTTATAATTTTTCTTCAATAATTGAGCAACATTTAACAAATTATGATTAATATCAAGAACATATAAAACATCAAAATTAATTTGATACCCGACTGACTTTTAATTGCAATTGTTCTTGTACCTTTCACGTTCATTTGTTCTCCATTACCGATACTCACTTTAGAAATATGTGATTCGTTGAGCTCTTTGAAAAATTCTCGATCATGAGTCATGTGGTTTGTACAACCACTGTCTATAAGCCAACTTGTGGATTTGTTGATTGTAGAACATGTTGATGCAAGGAGAAGTTCTCCTTCTACTCCATGTTGAATTATTGGCAAGCGTACCAAAATTATCAATCGCAGTATAATATTTCAATGAAATAAAAGTCGATCCCACGAGGAACAGTTTAAATGAAAATTCCCAGTTATATGCTTACTAAGTGGATTAAAATAGATTGGGTTTTTCAATAAGAGTTGAAATGAAATTAAATGACAAAGAACTGTAAATTGTTGAAAAAATATCAATTAAAGGTACTTAGGATTAGTTTCCTTCCTTATCCCTCTTTTGTAATGACTATGTCAATTAAGAACGTCAATTAACCTAACAATGTTGATGC